GTCTGGGGGTATTATAACAATGAAAGTCAAACAACAACAAAAAAAGAAACTAAACAGAACAATATGCAAACAAAAAAAACCAAAAAAAAACCACCCAAAAAAGCCGCTATAACAGAAAATGCCATAGTCACAAAGTGCAACGATTCCCCTTTATAAAATTCAAATATCTTTTGACCAGACATATATATATATATATAGTATATATTTCTGTCGCCACGGATACAAAGTAATAATGATGCAATCTTTTTAGTGATAAAATCTCTTAGCCATCTCTACATCGACCAACCACTCCCAGCTCAGCCGCATGGTTGATACCAACCTTTCATTCCCATTTACAAAATCGGATCCAATCTCAAACTTGTCAATCCCCAGCCGAACTCTGAAGTATAGTCAAAATTGTCTTTAAAAAATTATATGAGCAGCCCCAGTCATAATTACTGTAACGCGTACAACTTTTCATAAGTGGGCCAATAATGGGAACTTTCCACCAATCAGGATGACGGATGGTAAACATTACAATTCATCTAGCCACCACGACAACACGACAACACATGTCACCATCATGTGAACATTACAAACGACAACTCACTCAGACAAGGACATACATAACCATGAAACAACCAACACCATTGCAATTCAACACAATTATTTACGAAGAGTGCTCCACACAAACTGTTACAGTAGTCTACACAGTAGTGGGTTACTCACTTTAGTATAGTCCCCCTCGTCATCAGCCTCTGGGTCATAACGCTCCGCAGAAACTGGAAACAAAGACCACAAAAAAAAAACAATTTAAAGGTTTATCGCAGAGATTTTTATATCATGTCATCATCATCATCATCATCATCATCATCAATGCCTTTCACCCCTGGCAGGGTATAGGCCACATACAAGCTCCTTCCATTTCTCTCTGTCCTGAGCCATCCTTCCAAGCTCGTTCCAATACCATGTCATCAGTGATACTTTATTGTTTTCTTCCGCTTGTACCGGTGGGTGTCGCGAGGAGACACAGGCGTCTGTCTCCAGCAAGGCGAGTGATAATAAAACTTACATTAAAAAGCCTCTGTATAGTTTTAGAAGAGGTTTTACGGCGCTCACACCTGCATATAAGGTCATATGAGCGCGAATAGCCTCATAGTTTTCAAGGGACTACAAAAATATATTTACTTACTGATGACAAGCATAAAAGCAGAGGGAACATAAAATTAACAACTTCTTACTGAGCTGAACAGTTTACAGATCAAATTTTATGGCAATGCGTAAAGCTATCCTTGCACTTGAGGTGCAAGCAAACATTTTCCATGGCCAACTAGTTTTTTAAAATATACTACATAACTTTTTTTTTTTAATCATTATGGGTTTTTTTCCCCTTCACTCACCTGACTTTCGTCTATCCCTGTATGATGATGGCGGACCTGCAAATAGAAAGATATAAAATTTAAAAACTTCAGCAAAACAGCAGTACAAGCTTTGAGGGGTGTGTGTCAAATATCTATCATCAGGTCGGTCATGTGCATTTTATTTTGTATTGCTTTCTTACACACAGAAGATCTCTCTCTCTCTCTCTCCCTCTCCCTCCCTCTCCCTCCCTACCTCCCTCCCTC